GAAGTGAGAGGATATCAATATTTTCGAAAGAAAATAAACGAAGTTTAAAAAGCTGTTCATCGTGAAACAGGTGAGAAAGGGTAGAAAATCTGAGCTTCTTATAAATTATGAGGAAAGCCATGGCATTTTTGTAGACTAGCATTCATTCGACATTTCCTAGCCATGACATTTTTTGCAGGCTAGCATTTATTAGACATTTTCTAGCCATGACATTTTTGTAGACTAGTATTCATTCAACATTCTTTAGCCATGACATTTTTATAGACTAGCATTCATAAAAAATTCCCTAGCCATGATATTTTTGCAAACTAGCATTCATTCAACATTCCTTAGCCATGACATTTTTGGAGACTGGCATTCATTAGATATTCTCCAGCCATGACAATTTTGTAGACTACAATTCATTAGACATTTTCTAGCCAAGAAATTTTTAGACTAGTATTCATTCAACATTCCCTAGCCATGACATTTTTGTAGGCTAGCATTCCTTCGACATTCCCTAGTCATGACATTTTTGTAGACTAACATTCATACAACATTCCCAAGCCATGATATTTTTGAAGACTAGCATTCATTAGACATTCGCTAGCCATGACATTCTTGTAAACTAACATTCATTAGACATTCTCTAGCCATGACATTTTTGTAGAGTAGTTTTCATTCAACATTCCCTAGCTATGATATTTTTGTAGACTAGCATTACTTTGACATTCCCTAGCCATGATATATTTGTAAACTAACATTTATTAAACATTCTCTACATATGATAGTTTGTAGACTAGCATTCATTAGACATTCTCGAGCCCTGACATTTTTGTAGACTAGTATTCTTTCAACATTCCCTAGCCATGACATTTTTGTAGAGTAGCATTCATTCGACATTCCTTTGCCATGATATTTTTGTAGACTAACATTCATTAAACATTCTCTAGCCATGTCATTTTTGTAGACTAGCATTCATTAGACATTCTCTAGCCATGACAATTTTGCAGACTAGCTTTCATTAGACATTCTCTACCTATGACATTTTGGTATTCTAGCGTTCATTAGACATTCTCTAGCCATGGCATTTTTGTAGACTAGCATTCATAAGACATTCTCTAGCCATGACACTTTTTAGACTAGTAATAATTCTACATTCCGTAGCCATGCCATTTTAGACTAACATTCATTAGACATTCTCTAGGCATGATATTTTTGTAGACTAGCATTCATTAGACATTCTCTAGACATGACATTTTTGTAGACAAGTATTCATGCAACATTCCCTAACCATGACATTTTTTACACTAGCATTTCTTCGACATTCTCCAGCAAAGACATCTTTTTAGACTAACATTGATTAAACATTCACTAGCCATGAAATATTTGTAGACTAGCATTCATTAGACATTCTCTAGCAATGACATTTTGGTAGACTAGCATTCATAAGAAATTCTCTACCCATGATATTTTGGTAGACTAGAAATTCCCTATTTGAATTCCCTAAAATTCATTCGATACTTTGTAGACTAGCGTTCCTTTTGACATTCTCTTTGCCTTGACATTTTTTGTAGACTAACATACATACAACATTTCCAAGCCATGGTATTTTTGTAGACGAGTATTAATAAGAAATTCCCTAGTCATGACATTTTTGTAGACTTGCATTCATTCAACATTCGTTAGCCATGACATTTTGTAGACTAGCATTCATTCAACATTGACTAGACATGACATATGTGTAGACTAACATTCATAAGACATTCTCTAGCCATGAAATTTTTATAGACTAGCATTCATTAGACATTCTCTAGTCATGACATTTTTCATACTAGATTAGACATTCTCTAGCCATGACATTTTTGTAGACTAGCATTTATAAGAAATTCCCTACCCATGATAATTTTGTAGATTAGCATTCCTATGACATTTCCTAGCCATCAAATTTTTATAGACTAAGATTGATTAGACATTCTCTAGCCATGATATATTTGTAAACTAACATTTATTAGACATTCTCTACATATGGTAGTTTGTAGACTAGCATTCATTAGACATTCTCGAGTCCTGACATTTTTGTAGACTAGTATTCTTTCAACATTCCCTAGCCATGACATTTTTGTAGAGTAGCATTCATTCGACATTCCTTTGCCATGATATTTTTGTAGACTAACATTCATTAAACATTCTCTAGCCATGTCATTTTTGTAGACTAGCATTCATTAGATATTCTCTAGCCATGACAATTTTGCAGACTAGCTTTCATTAGACATTCTCTACCTATGACATTTTGGTATTCTAGCGTTCATTAGACATTCCCTAGCCATGGCATTTTTGTAGACTAGCATTCATAAGACATTCTCTAGCCATGACACTTTTTAGACTAGTAATAATTCTACATTCCGTAGCCATGCCATTTTAGACTAACATTCATTAGACATTCTCTAGGCATGATATTTTTGTAGACTAGCATTCATTAGACATTCTCTAGACATGACATTTTTGTAGACAAGTATTCATGCAACATTCCCTAACCATGACATTTTTTACACTAGCATTTCTTCGACAGTCCCCAGCAAAGACATCTTTTTAGACTAACATTGATTAAACATTCACTAGCCATGAAATATTTGTAGACTAGCATTCATTAGACATTCTCTAGCCATGACATTTTTGCAGACTAGCATTCATTAGACATTCTCTAGCAATGACATTTTGGTAGACTAGCATTCATAAGAAATTCCCTACCCATGATATTTTTGTAGACTAGAATTCATTCGACTTCCCCTAGCCGTGATACTTTGTAGACTAGCGTTCCTTTGACATTCTCTTTGCCTTGACATTTTTGTAGACTAACATACATACAACATTCCCAAGCCATGGTATTTTTGTAGACGAGTATTAATAAGAAATTCCCTAGTCATGACATTTTTGTAGACTTGCATTCATTCAACATTCGTTAGCCATGACATTTTTGTAGACTAGCATTCATTCAACATTGCCTAGACATGACATATGTGTAGACTAACATTCATAAGACATTCTCTAGCCATGAAATTTTTATAGACTAGCATTCATTAGACATTCTCTAGTCATGACATTTTTCATACTAGTATTAGACATTCTCTAGCCATGACATTTTTGTAGACTAGCATTTATAAGAAATTCCCTACCCATGATAATTTTGTAGATTAGCATTCCTACGACATTTCCTAGCCATCAAATTTTTATAGACCAAGATTGATTAGACATTCTCTAGCCATGATATTTTTGTAGACCAGCATTCATTAGACATTCTCTAGCCATGGAATTTTTTCAGACTAGCATTAGATATTCTCTAGCAATGACATTTTTGTAGACTAGCATTTATAAGAAATTCCCTACCCATGATAATTTTCTAGACTAGCATTCATTCGACATGCACTAGCAATGGTATTTTGTTGACTAGCATTCATTCAACATTGCTTATACATGACAATTTTGTAGACTACCATTCATTCATTTTTGTAGACCAGCATTCATTAGACATTCTCTAGCCATGACATTTTTGCAAACTAGCATTAGACATTCTCTAGCCATGAAATTTTTGTAGACTAACATTCATTAGACATTCTCTAGCGATGACATTTTTGCAGACTAGCGTTCATTGGACAGAAATTCCCTACCCATGATAATTTTGTAGACTTGCATTCATTCGACATTCACTAGCAATGGTATTTTGTAGACTAGCATTCATTCAACATTGCCTACACATGACAATTTTGTAGACTACCATTCCTTCATTTTTGTAGACCAGCCTTCATTAGACATTCTCTACCCATGATATTTTTTAGATTAACATGCATTAGACATTCTTTAGGCATGACATATTTGTAGACTAGTATTCATTAGGCAATCTCCAGCCATGACATTTTTTCAGACTAGCATTTATTACATTCTCTACCCATGATATTTTGTAGACTAGCATTCATTAAACATTCTCTAGCCATGACATTGTTTGCAGACTAGCATTCATTAGACATTCTCTACCCATGAATTTTTGTAGACTAGCATTCATTAGACATTCTCTAGCCATGACATTTTTGTAGGCTAGCATTCATTCAACATTCGCTAGCCATGACATTATTGAAGACAAGGATTCCTTCGGCATTCTCTAGCCATGACATATGTGTAGACTAACATTCATAAGACATTCTCTAGTCATGACATTTTTCATACTAGCATTAGACATTCTCTAGCCATGACATTTTTGTAGACTAGCATTCATAAGAAATTCCCTACCCATGATAATTTTGTAGATTAGCATTCCTACGACATTTCCTAGCCATGAAATTTTTGTAGACTGGCATTCATTCGACATTCCTTTGCCATGATATTTTGTAGACTACCATTCATTAGACATTCTCTAGCCATGACATATTTGTAGACTACCATTCATTAGAAATTCTCTAGCCATGACATTTTTGTAGACTAGCATTTATAAGTAATTCCCTACCCATAATATTTTTGTAGACTAGCATTTATTCGACATTCCCTAGACATGACATTTTTGTAGACTAGCATTCATTAGACATTCTCTAGCCATGACATTTTTGTAGACTAACATTCATTCAATATTCCCTAGCCATAACATTTTTGTAGACTAGCATTCATTCGACATTCACTAGCCATGACATTTTTGTATACTAGCATTCATTACACATTCTCTGGCTATGATATTTATGTAGCCTAGCATTAATTACATATTCCCTATCCATGACATTTTTGTAGATTAGCTTTCATCAGACATTCCCTAGACATGACATTTTTGTAGACTAGCATTCATTTGATCTTTTTCTTTCGACGACGTTTCTCAAAATCGATAAATATTGACATTTTAATTTTAGAAGTGTGTCCCTAAATAAGAAAGGTGGTTTATGAAAGTTTAAAAATGAAACAAAAACGAAAGCTGTAAGAAAGAAAGAAAGAAAGAAAGAAAGAAAGAAAGAAAGAAAATCTGAAAGAAAGAGTGTGAGAGACTAGAGAAAAAGACAGAGAAAGAAAAAAGAGACATAGACACACAGAAAATATACAGAGAGGGTGTCAAAAGGGAGAGAGATAAAGAGAAAGGGGGTGAAGAAAAAAGAGAAAGAGAAATGGAGTACAAGGGAGAAAAAGAGAAAAAATGAAGAAAGGGAAAGAGAGAAAAAAGAGAAACAAAGAAAGAAAGAAAAAGAGATTGAAATAGATAGAAAGAAACAGAGGTAGAGAGAAGTAAAAAGATGGAGAGTGATAGAGAGAGAATGAGGGGTAGAGAGAGTTAGAGAGATAGAAACAGAGAGAGAGAGTTACTGAGGCCGTAATCAATAAGATGTTCGTCGAGCACCTAGAAAAGAACAACCTCTTTAGAGATGTGCAATATTGGTTTCGGTCGGCCTCATCCACTGAAAACATCCTAACTACCATCACACACAGAATCAGTGAGACTCTTGATGACAGGAACACCTTGAGGACCATAGCACTAGATACCTCAAAGGCCTTCGGCAAGGTGTGACACAAAGGCTTACTACACAGGCTCTCCAGTTATGGAATCACCAGAGGGGTTTTCTCAATCATAAAATCCTTCGTAATAGGTAGGTCTCTGAAGGTAGTATGCAAGTGCCAGTTTTCCGGGGCCCTAGAGGTCAACGCAAGTGTCACCCAAGGGTCACTACTAGGAGCAACCCTCTTTTTGATCTACATAAATGATCTGCCTAAGAATATACTCAGATCATTTGTAAACATCTATGTTGATGATACAACTATAGATGGCCACACCTCTAAAACTCTCGATGGTCAGAGATTGGCAACTGATCTCTCTTCCGTTCTTGTACAAACTACCCAATAGAATAAAAACTGACTAATTACATTCCATCATCATCAATCTGACCCCAAACTACCACCAATCTGGATGAATGGAGGTCCTCTCAGGGAAGCACTGTGCCTTGAAAGACTGTTTGGAATCAAACTCACGCTTGACCTCAAGTGAAACTTGTATATACAATCCATTGCTAAGGATGCAGGTAAAATGGCCACCTCCCTATATCGCTCCAGTAAGTACCTGACCCCTCCTGCTATTTTGTACCTTTACAAGGGGCAGATCAAGCAAGGAAACACAAATTAGGGAGTCTGTTCCATAGGGCAATGCTTCGTGGGAAGAATCTGTTTGAGTGGAAGTTACTTTTCATCAACGGAATACTTAGAGAATGTGGGTGGTTTGGTACAATGTAAGTGGCATAGCAGGTCCTAGCCAATAAGAAAGAGAAAAACAAAACAGCAAATGTAAACTCACAGTCTTGAACTTGGAGCCGCCATGTCATCGATTAATGCCTCGACAAGGGAGACAACTAGCAATTTCACCCAAACTAGGGGAGATAACTCTAATTCAAATTTTTACACGCACCATCAAAAATAAATTATTTTAACATCTAAATTTCGGAAAAATTAAGAAATTGTAAACGAATTAGAATTTTTTTCCATCGCGCTTACTAATGGCACTTTTATAAAGTTTCTCTTTAGAAACTCATGAATTCAAAGTTCATTGCATTTTTTTACTTGTCAATTTAATACTGTTTAAATATCCTCCCTGTAGTGTAAATTCTTCAGAATTTTTTTTTACATTAAGGTTCACCCTGTACAAGGCCTGGGGGTAACTAGATATAGAGGGTTATGATAAAGGGTAGTTTATATGGATAGGAGGGAAAGATAACAGTTGACTTTAGACTTGAACAGGTTAAGATTGTAGTGATCAAGGAAACACAAATTATGGAGTGTGTTCCATAGGGCAGTGCTTCGTGGGAAGAATTTGTTTGAGTGGAAGTTACTTTTCACCAACAGAATACTTAGGGAATGTGGGTGGGGTTTGCTACAATGTAAGTGGCATGGCGGGTCCTAGCCATGAAGGTTGGAGCTGGTGGAACCAGGAAATGCACTTCATCCGGGCATTTTCCATGGTAGTAGTGATAGAGCAGTGAGAAGCTCACCACATTCCTCTTGTAAGAGAGAGAGGTTGGAATTTGGTAAAAGATTCTTCACCCACAAGGACTTGGAGATGCTTTTGAACTCTATCAAGGCTGAAAAGTGAGTTCCTGCCCAAATAATGCAACAGTACTAAGAAGACAAACATCTTCATCCCTATCTTTGCTTCTAACTCAACATTAGATGACAAAGACCATTCCCTAGAGGCCAACACATCGTCCCCCAGGCATTACTCCTTGGGCCAACCCTCTTTTTGATCTACATAAATGATCTACTTAAGAATATGCTCAGATCATTTTCTAAACATCCTATGTCGATGATATGACTATAGATGGCCACACCTCTAAAACTCTCGATGGAGATTAACGACTAAACTCTCTTTCGTTCTTGTAAAAACTAACCAATGAGGTAAAAACTGGCTGGTTGTATTTTATTCAATGCCTCGAAGAGAAAGCTAGTTACATTCCATCTTCGCCGATGTGACCACGAACTACCACCAATCAGGATTAACGAAGTTTCTCTCGGGGAAGCACCGGGTCTTGAAAGATTTTTGGGCCTCAAACACACACCCGATCTGAAGTGGAACTCGATCCATTGCCAAGGATGCAGATAAAATGGTCGGCTCTCTGTTTTCTTCAGTACGTACCTGACACCTGCTACTATTCTCTATCTTTACAAGAGCCAACAAGAAGACGTCATGCCACTTACATAGTAGCAAATCACCCAGATTCCCCCCGTATTCCATCGGTGAGAAATAAGTTCCACTCGAACAGTTTCTTCCCGCGAACCACTGTCCTGTGGAACCGAATCCCAACAGGATGTTTCCCCGATCAGTTAACTTGTTCAAAGGTAGGGTTAACCATTATCCTACACTCCTATGCACACAAATGGCACACAAACGTAACCCTCTACCTCGAGTGGTCCCCGAGCCTTGTAAAGGGAGAACCTCTCTATAAAAAAAAAAGGTAAAATTTCAAACTGAATTTCAAACTGAACTCGTGTTATTTAATCCACGGCAGATAATTATTCTCGTTCCGCTCCCCAAGTCTCGGGATATCTCGTCTGGTTTTATTTGGCACCGCTCAGCTATTGCCCACTTTTCACTGAGTCTATAATTGGACATAGCAATTAAAGTCAAAGTTACAGGACTTGTAATACTGAAAGTTTCGTAATACTGAAGCGCTTGTAATACTTTATGGAAGGTTACCCTGGATTGGACCTGAAGAAAAACAGAGACCAAGACATTTGTGAACAAGAACAATCAATAAAAGTCCGAATGTAAATAATGACATATATATATATATATATATATATATATATAGCATGTGATGGATAAATTCTCGTCTAAATGACGCAAAAATGAACGCTGACATCTCATTTAAACAGATATATGTACCAAAATTACAGAAAAATATCTTGAAATATTAAAGAGTAAATTTATTCAATAAAATCGCGATTGGCCTCAATCATAACCTCCAGATGACTTTGGAATCTCCTGCAACTTTTCTGGACGGTCTCCTTGTTTAAGTTGGTGAATGCTGTCATAATCTTTGCCTTCAGTTAATTTTTGCTGTTAAAAGGAGTTTTGTTGTTCTCCCATTCAACTGAAACCTACACATAATGATCAAGGTGTTACCAACTGGGTAGTTAGATGGCCAGGTGTAAGAGATAATTTGGTAGTAGAAATTGCCAGACAGTCATGACCGGGTTCTCCTGCTTGTGTGGCATGGTGCAGAGTCATAAGGACTTCTAGCAGCGACCCTCTTAACCCAGGAAAGCATTGCCTCATCAAGGCACTTGTGGTAGGTCTCCGTGTTGAGTTTGAAGACATCACCAACAAATTCGGGAGTTCTTTTCTTATCGGAACGATCACAGTGAGTTTTCCGAACTGTCGTACCTTCGTAATCACCATTAGACTCATCCAACTCTTTCCGAATCCTTTTCACAGTTCTCAGATTGACACCGAAACACTCGGAAATGTTCGTTTTAAAGATTCCAACGCGAATGCCAAGGAGTACAGCATGCCGTTTCCAAATTTCTGGCGGAGTGAAATGCGTCATGGTGCTCTTTTTCTTACAGACGGTGCCCAACTGACCCTACTATACTGTGCAGTGAACAGAATCAAAACTAAACAACGCGCATGCGCGAAATTAAAAATATAAAATGGCGACAATGTACTCGTCGTATATTCTATATTAAAAGATTTAAGACTAACATTTCTAGGTCAGTTTTTTAAAGCGACACTGCTTCCCATTTAACACGTCCAAACGCCAGTTCTTGTACGACCACCGAAGTAAAGCAACGTCCAACTTGGTCAGTACATAATAGGTGAACGTTTGGGAATATTAAGTGCTATAAGCTCGTATGTATAGGTGATGTAATGGGAAAGGTATGAGTTCACCACTTCTCCCCCAGCTGTGAGTTAATTAGTAGGACTTGTATCAGAAAATCATTATTATCTCCAATATATTTGTGTAAACTAAAATTATATCTGGCTTTAAATAACTTGCGAAAGTCTGATAAGTCGTAAAACACAAACCAATAAAATTATCGATAAGCGCTATTAATAAAATGGAGGAACGAGAAATGGAAGAGTCAAGCTCGTTGCATTTATTTATGCACAAATACCTTCAGGGAAGGTATGCCTTAATCTCTTCGACTCTCCATCTATGGGTTAATGAGTAGGACTTGTATCAGTAAATCAGTATTACGCCGACCAAATAAACTTACAAACTGAAAATATTTTCTGGCTTTAAATAACACTAGCAGCCATACCCAGCTGGTCGATCAGAAAAAGCGTTCAATTAAAATAAAGCAAAAACAACATCATGTTTAGATTTAACAATCTTCTTCAATTACTTTAAAGTATTTTCATTAAAAAGCATTTTGAATTAATGCATTTACTGATATAACATAAGTAGTCTGTATTTATTCAATTGAAGTTAGCTGAAGACATGAAGGGTTAAAACAGGCAATATGAAGACCCACTTCAGAGCACAATTATTTTGGAATTTTTGAAATT